TTAAGACAGGGTAGGTATTCCTCCCTTTTTAGGGTGCTGTCCGCAACCACTGGAGCAGAGAGGATGATTGGAGGATGGACGGATTGAAGGACCAATCTTGGGAGAATTAAGTTTAAACCACAATTGCTCCCCAACAGTTTTGGACCAATCAGATAGTAACATTATTTATATAAATGTTGTATACCGCCAAGTTGAAGTTAGTCTTTTCTGTTTATCCTAAACAGTCAAGAACCATGTGCACATGCTAATTTTGATACGTTAATGCATAATAAATTTCACACTGTGAATTTTCTTTATATTTAGTCTTTTCTTTTCAATTTACGAGAACACGTTTCGACAACACTAAGGCAACAACAGCCATGAATTCATTATCAGGTAAATTCATCATTCCTCACATTGACACTGCAGGAGGGAATAAAAGACACAGGTTAAAGCCAAGTTCATTAACAATCTGACAAATAAAAATATAAGCCTCCACTGAGTTTTTACACCAGTTTTCATCCACATCTCAGTTACAAACTCACCTCAGCAGTTTAACCACTTGTGTACTTCTTCAACAACAAACAGCTTTTGGGAGAAAACTGAAATAACACGCTAGCCAGCTGTTAGCTCGAATTAAATATGACTATGTAACTGGGTGAAAATGTACCAAACAGTGGCTTCTACACAAAAACTCTTTACACAGTATTGTTCAGAATGTGTACAGTTGCACATCAGCATGTCCACAAGACAAAGGGATAAATCTGCAGCGTTGCTTTCTCTTCTCCTTCAAAGGCAAACAAACAAAGGACCATTTCATTGCAGCTCTGCAGGCGACAGAGGATGGAGGAAACCCTACCGAGCACACTGATGAAGAAGGACTGGTCAATGAGTTTGTTGCCCTCTGGATCGACTAGGTTGAACTTGAAAAACAGGCTGCCTCCCTTCTCGCCTTTCTCGTGGCTGTACTGCAGCAGGCCTGCAGAGCACAGACAAGCACTCTGTGTTAGTTTAAGGTTGTTTCAACTCCACACATTACATAG